TTCTCCCTCCCCTTCACCATACTCCAGCTGAGCAATTTCCGGCTGAGTTCAATATCCTGGTTGAAAATCCTTTTAATTATTATTCTACATATTAAAGCTTATCAATGTCACATATGTACATATTAAATACATACATGTCACATATGTACATGTGTTACGGCCTGACTTAGTCAGTAACCGGGTTTTTGACTTATCAAACTGTTTATGGGAGCCTTAGTGGTTGTTCTTACTCCATCCCCCCCCCCCCCCCGAGTCACAGGTAAGTTATTAAGAACACTAAGTTATTATTAAGAACTGGCAAGTAAGTTATTAAGAACACTAAATAGAATATCGCCAAGTGAACTTCTTAACTCTATATATATGTACACATATGTATATGACTTAACACTGCAGGTGTCACTCTTGCACAAGACACTGTAAAACTTCTTCAATCTTCTTTCCCAGCGATAGAAGTCCACGATAGAAGTCTACTTCTATCTTACCACTACTATCGTCACCTACTCTAAGTAGTACTCACCTTCTCACCGTCTCAGTATTATACAAAGTCCAGTCTAAAGATCTAAATGATTAGTGGCGACGTCTGCCTTGTAGACGCTCCACGTGATCACATTGACTGACAAGGAGGGAAGTCATTAGATCAGAGAACTCCTCACAAGGTCAGGTAAGGTCTTGACAGTATCTCGTGGCCTCAGGAGAAAGCACTAAACCATTGCGACTCTGTTGGTAACCCACAGAAGTTTAGTACACAAGCTGGAGAAACAGGCATGAGTGACAGGGGCTCTAGTGGATAAAAAGAGTGCCTATTGAACAGAAAACAAAGAGTCAGAGTGCGTGGAGAAACCTGATAGCAGGATGCTATCTGTGGCGTCCCACAGGAGTCAGTTCTGGGACTGATACTATATTCCTAATTTATATGAACGAGCTACCAGAATGAATAGATTCCGTCCTCTCATTGTTCACTAATGATGTAAACATTATAAAGAGGATAACTACAATGGGAGACTGCAAGAAACTACAAGAGGACCTGAACAAAATGTAAATGTTCAGGTGGCTACTAGACCTCAACTCCGGCAATTGCAAAGTAATGAAACTGGGTAGGAGAAACTGACATAGCTGACACAAGGAATTTTCTCTCACATGGGAGAGGAAATCCTATTGGACTCGGACAGGGAAAAACAAAGACCTGGGGGTTGATATTATCCCCCAACTCCAGGAACCCCCCAGAAAACCCCAGAAACCCCCAGAAACCCCCAGAAACCTCCAGAAAACTTCAGAAACCCACATTAAAATAGAATAATCACCTATATACGGAAAAGGTTAGCTAATGACAGACCTGCCTTTAGGACTCTGAACAAAGAGTCATTCAGGATCTCATATATCGTTTATACGAGACCCATCATTGGTATATGAGGCCCCAGTCTGGAGTCATTATCTCGTTAAACAACGAAGTTGGAAGAAGTTCAGAGGTACGCTGCCTATGCTGAGAGGTTTGAGATCTCCATCGACGTTTGATTAGACAACGTCAGTGATCAACGTGGCTGATCAACGTCTGAGTAGCAGGTCTTCGTTACTCCAAGCAACGTTGTGTTGATCTATTCTCCTTAGTTCTCTTAATGTGTTTCATTTTGACCTTTCAAGTTCATCTGTCTCTCAGGTCTCCGTTATTGGCATTTCTCACACTTCTTCGTGCCTCTCTCTCTTCCCCTCTCGTTCATCTTTGGTATTCCCTCACTCAACTTCTTGACGAGTTTGACTCACTCAAAAGATCTTAATCTCAAGACCTTTTTCACGGGGTCTTCGTGTCGAGTTGGTCTTCGTACCCCACCAATAAGGTCCCGGAGGTCTTAGCCCCTGACAGGCAGAGCTACGCTTTTAAATGATAAAACTTAACAGCTGAGATTAATTAAAAACACCTGTGAGACAGTTGTTAATAAACACATATGTGGGGCCACATTCTCACAATATGTAGGTACATGTATGAAGGTGCATACATATGAGGTGGTAGAGGGTTGAGTGGAAATGGAGGCGTCTATTGAGGGGGGTAGAATATGAGTAGATGGGCGTAGAATATAACTTAATATGGGGTATAATATACCTATGTGGGGTATACGGTTCCTATGTGGGGGTATAATGTACCTTTCTGACAGCTAGAGTCTGTTCAATTTATAATAGAAAGCTTCTGTCATCAACCATTCATTTCAGGCCAAAGTTCCATTTGGTCTGAATTACTCTCATGAACACGGAACACATGATACACTAATATATAAATACTCCGCAGTTCACTAGTCGTGAAGCGTATCTACGCAATTATAAATGAAGCTTTCGCTCCGTGTTTGGGATACGCTCACGTACAAAAAAGCCGCAATAAGCTATAAAAGATGGAAGAGCGATTAATACGTACTTAAGACAGCTTCAGGAGCACCAGACAACGCCACTCCTCCAACCCGTAATGAATCCCTTAAATCTCGACACCTGTGTTATAGCAACCTGCGCTGGGCTTAGAGAGAGAGACAGTGTCACAACTCCACCACTGCTGTTAGTCAACTAGCTAGTGCCCTGGGCAAGCCCCTGTGGGAGCCAAGCCAATGAGTGTGAGGTGAGAGAGGGGGTTGGGGGCGTTCAAGCCAGTCGCCAGACTTCATGTAGCCAAGACATTGGGGGGGAAATGAGAGAGAGAGGGAGGAGGTGGTTGACAGAACATAGAGAGTGCCAACCCGAGGCTCTGATGTGCCACTGAAGCCCACAAATGACACTGGTCCCCCCCGGTGCCAAGCTAGTGGAAACGACACACATAGACACATGCAATATATCTCCCATATCGGGTTTATTGCTCTTTGTTGCTCGGGCTGCGTCACGAGGCTTGCCGATACACCCCCGGCGTACCATCGCTATTTTTACTCTTTAAGAAAACACACCCAAAACTATAATTATTGGTAAGAACTCTCTGTGCAACATATATGTGGCACAGAGGCGGTGAGAGGAGGGGGAGGGGGGGTGTCAGTTATAGAAATCGGGCAGCGGTGACGGTAATTAGTGGAAGCATTTTCGAGAAGAATATAAATAGTGACACTTGCGTGGTGTGGGCTGGGCTGGGGGGGGGGGGGGGTATGAGTAGGCTTGTCACCCCTCCAGAAACTGGTGTCGGACACGAGGTTGAAGTTCGCAGTACACAGTGTCTCACCGGTAGGTGTAGACGAGGCAGGAATCTGCCGGTGGTTTGGGCTTGCTGATTAAACTGAGGTAGTTTGATTTTGTAATTGGCAGAGGAGGTTACCCGGCGCTGCTCGGGGGGGGGGGGGCGGGGCGTTTAGGATCCAAATTTTCCCTACATCACTGTAACCTGAGTTTACCTGAGGGCCACTAACACTAGTGGCCTCGACGAGGACAGGAAGCCGGCGGCTTGTTGAAGGTCCCCCCCCCCCCGCCCCCCATTTTTTCTCTAAGAAAAATACAAATTGAAGTAAGACCCTTCATCACTAGCCCCACCCTTCACCACCTTCCCTACCCTTCACCACCTTCCCTACCCTTCACCACCTTCCCTACCCTTCACCACCTTCCCACCCCTTCACCACCTTCCCTACCCTTCACCACCTACCCTTCACCACATTTTCTACCCTTCACCACCTTCCCTTCTTCTCCACCTCTTAAATAAACTACCGAAGAGGAGTCTTAGATGACTCGACACTGTTTTGGCTCTCCTTGGCCACAGACCAGTCATCCTGCAATGTTTGGTGAGGCTTGCCATAAGCATCTAGCCATTAACCTAGAACAGACAGACACGAGCATTCTCTTTTGTTGATAAAAATTTAGTTTTTCATTGTTGTCGTTGTTCAGGGAACTTACACACACACACACACACACACACAGGCACTTGTGTGTGTGTGTGTGTGTGTGTGTGTGTGTGTGTGTGTGTGTGTGTGTGTGTGTGTGTGTGTGTGTGTGTGTGTAAGGAACTGTGCCTTACGACACTAGAGAGAAGAAGGGAGAAGGGGGGACATGATAGGAACGTATAAAATACTGAGGGGGATTGAAAGAGTGGACATAGAGGAAATGTTCACACGGAATAGTAACAGAACGAGGGGACATGAGTAGAAGCTGGAAACTCAGATGAGTCACAGAGATGTTAGGAAGTTTTCTTTTAGCGTGAGAGTAGTGGGAAAATGGAATGCACTTCAGGAACAGGTTATGGAAGCAAATACTATTCATAATTTTAAAACCAGGTATGATAGGGAAATAGGACCGGAGTCATTGCTGTAAACAACCGATGCTCGAAAGGCGGGATCCAAGAGTCAATGCTCGATCCTGCAGACACAAATTGGTGAGTACAAATAGATGAGTACACACACACACATTTTTCCAGTAGTAGAAGGCTTCCATCAGTCTCAGGCGACTATGGAGTTGCGCTCTGGTTGTCGGTCTGGAGTGGCCTCTCCAGGGCGCAAAGTTGATAGGTTAACGTTTCACTTACTTTACTCTTCACCACCTTCCCTACCCTTAACCTCTAGTTTGGGACTAGAGCACGGTGGTGGGGGGAATGATGGGGATGAGTGGAGGCTGAGGCTGAGGGAAGGAAAGTGGCAGCCATCGTAGACCTCCACTGCTGCTTGAAGACTGCGCATACACTGCGCCATCGTGGGGCGAAATCCTGCCTCCTCCCTCAAGCAACCGCGCACAAGAATCTCCAAGATGCTCGACCGGTGCTCCATGCGATCCAGCGTCTCGTCAAGCAAGACGGCCACAGAGTACACGTCTGAGGCTGGAGAAGCCAGACGCTAGTGAAAGAGCTCAGGGGCGCACCACCTAGAATTAACACACCTTAGCTTTTCATACTGTCTCCTTGCAAGCTGATCTTTAGGCAGATTATCCTTGTATTTCTTCGGTCCGAGTTCACCAACTTTGGTCATCATGTTAAGTTCCAAAATCATAACTGAGCATTCATTGCCTGAGAGCATGTCGACGCCGATGTTCCGAGCCTAGACGTCGTTGTGGACGTAGCCGGACTAATGCAATTGGTCCAGCGTTGAACACAAGTTGACTAGAGCCCGGAGGTAGACCACGTCTCCAGGAGGGCACCGGAGCAGCTCCTGGTAAGTGATGCCTTTGTACGGTGTTATAATTAAACCAGCGGGACGAACACTGAGCATTTGGACGACAGGAACGCCAGTGACCGACCTCACAGCTTGGTGCCTCAAGGCATCCTGGCAAGCAGCGTAGAGACCAGCATAGCACCTTTGGGTATATACTTTGACGCAACGTAAATCTGGTGTTTGTAAATCATACACGATGTATGAGTTATACATCCCCGTGTGTACGATGCGGGCTTTATCTACACTGTAGTGCTTGATCTTGACTATTTTAATGCCCTCCTTCTTGCATTGTCTCACTATTGGGAGAAATTTGCATAAAGTGATTGAAATTGCTTTCTCTGTTATTGTGGGCGAGACTTTAGTATGAATGCTTTTCTGGCTTGGGGCCTGAGATGTAGGAGCTTCTGGTAATGGGTCCTTAGCAAGTGGGGAGGGTTGTTCATCAACTGGGGACGGTTGTTCATCAACTGGGGAAGGTTGTTCATCAACTGGGGACGGTTGTTCATCAACTGGGGACGGTTGTTCATCAACTGGGGAAGGTTGTTCATCAAGTGGGGAGGGTTGTTCATCAAGTAAAGAACCGAACGCCGACCTGCATGAAGCGAGACCGTCGCTCTACCGTCCAGCCCAGAGCTTGAGATTCTCATTAAATCTAAGATTTAATGCTTGCCGCTTCCATTCCTGGAGAGGAGGTTCTTAAGAGTTTCTCGCTCGCTCCAAGATGGTAAACTCTTACACCTCGACCTCTGCCCGGCACTCGGACGGAAACTGATCACTCATTGCGGTCAGATACAATGAATGAATCAGTTATAAAACATTCAAGCAATCATATATAAACCCATATAATTGATTGAATATGTGTGTTAACCGTTATTTAAGGAACTTGGAATTTCGAAGGAAATTCCAAGGAAGGTTAGGCGGCTGGAAGGAAGGGTAGGCGGTTCCATACGTTTATAACCCTATCGGTTAGGGAGCCGGTCGGCCGAGCGGACAGCACGCTGGACTTGTGATCCTGTGGTCCCTGGTTCGATCCCGGGCGCCGGCGAGAAACAATGGGCAGAGTTTCTTTCACCCTATGCCCCTGTTACCTAGCAGTAAAATAGGTACCTGGGTGTTAGTCAGCTGTCACGGGCTGCTTCCTGGGGGTGGAGGCCTGGTCGAGGACCGGGCCGCGGGGACACTAAAAGCCCCGAAATCATCTCAAGATAATCTCAAGAAGATATCGGTGGAAAGGAGCATCAGTATTCTCTCTTACCTGTTGAGCTTCTAACCGTTGTTCCTTGTTCGTGTTACATTTGACCTTTGAGAGAAATTGTCTGGGTCAACATCCTTCAAACTGTTCAGTATTTTCAAAGTTTCGATGGGATTCGCCCTGTCATGTCTGGTTTGCAGTCTGGAGTGGCCTCTTCAGGACGCAAAGCCAGGGTAAGTTGATATGGAGAAGCTGTTACCCATGCAGCAGGTCCCCACCTCAAACGTTCCTGATATGTGAGCTGACTTTGTTCCTGGAGTGTTGTTGTTGCCTCGTGTTGAAGTGTCTCTACAGCAGCTATGTCCTCCTGAAGATGATGGGGTCGCCTTGCTAGGATACAGTAGTCCTTACCTCTCCCTCTTGTGCTTGGGGTAAGAGAGAGGGCAGAGCGTACACACACATGTGCGTACACAGTGCCAACACCACACGTACACATTGCCAACACCACACGTACACAGTGCCAACACCACACGTACACATTGCCAACACCACACGTACACAGTGCCAACACCACACGTACAGAGTGCCAACACCACACGTACACAGTGCCAACACACACACGTACACAGTGCCAACACACACACGTACACAGTGCCAACACCACACGTACAGAGTGCCAACACCACACGTACACAGTGCCAACACACACACGTACACAGTGCCAACACCACACGTACACATTGCCAACACCACACGTACACAGTGCCAACACCACACGTACACATTGCCAACACCACACGTACACAGTGCCAACACACACGTACACAGTGCCAACACCACACGTACACAGTGCCAACACCACACGTACACATTGCCAACACCACACGTACACAGTGCCAACACACACGTACACAGTGCCAACACCACACGTACACATTGCCAACACCACACGTACACAGTGCCAACACCACACGTACACAGTGCCAACACACACACGTACACAGTGCCAACACACACACGTACACAGTGCCAACACACACACGTACACAGTGCCAACACACACACGTACACGGTGCCAACACACACGTACACGGTGTACGGCCAACACACACCTGTCAGAACTCAAATTTTTGTAGTGACTCACACTATTCCAATGAAATTTCAGTGATCTTTCCCAGAACTCTCTCTTCCAGAGTAGTGGGAGAGTTTCTGGAACAGGAATATATGTTCATGACCTGTGTGTGTGTAGCTATTATTTGTATTTACTATTTGTGTCTGCAGAATCGAGCTATTAGCTCTTGGACCCCGCCTTTCGAACCAATTATTTTTTTCCTCTATTATTTCCTCTACATATATTTCTGTGTATATATGTGTGTGGGGGGTGGGGGGGTGGGGGGGGGTGAGTGTATTGCTTTTCGTATGTTGTGGTGATCAATAACCGTGATAAAGGGTCATTAACAGTAATGACCATATGATATGTGGAGACCCCAGATTGATCTTGAGGTAGCGTAGTGGGCCAAGATGTGTTCACTTGTATGTTATCTCTCTCTCTCTCTCTCTCTCTCTCTCTCTCTCTCTCTCTCTCTCTCTCTCTCTCTCTCTCTCTCTCTCTCTCTCTCTCTCTCTCTCTCTCTCTCTCGCGAACACTGAAAGACGGTATAGATTAAGAATTAGTGTTTTATCCCATGTAATTTTTTACACCATAGTGACAGTATTGGGCAGCGTCACTCATCCTGTGAGTGGACACACCGCCATAGTGACAGTATTGGGCAGCGCCACTCATCCTGTGAGTGGACACACCGCCATAGTGACAGTATTGGGCAGCGCCACTCATCCTGTGAGTGGACACACCGCCATAGTGACAGTATTGGGCAGCGTCACTCATCCTGTGAGTGGACACACCGCCATAGTGACAGTATTGGGCAGCGTCACTCATCCTGTGAGTGGACACACCGCCATAGTGACAGTATTGGGCAGCGGCACTCATCCTGTGAGTGGACACACCGCCATAGTGACAGTATTGGGCAGCGCCACTCATCCTGTGAGTGGACACACCGCCATAGTGACAGTATTGGGCAGCGTCACTCATCCTGTGAGTGGACACACCGCCGTAGTGACAGTATTGGGCAGCGCCACTCATCCTGTGAGTGGACACACCGCCATAGTGACAGTATTGGGCAGCGCCACTCATCCTGTGAGTGGATACACCGCCATAGTGACAGTATTGGGCAGCGCCACTCATCCTGTGAGTGGACACACCGCCATAGTGACAGTATTGGGCAGCGCCACTCATCCTGTGAGTGGACACACCGCCATAGTGACAGTATTGAGCAGCGTCACTCATCCTGTGAGTGGATACACCGCCATAGTGACAGTATTGGGCAGCGCCACTCATCCTGTGAGTGGACACACCGCCATAGTGACAGTATTGGGCAGCGCCACTCATCCTGTGAGTGGACACACCGCCATAGTGACATTATTGGGCAGCGTCACTCATCCTGTGAGTGGACACACCGCCATAGTGATAGTATTGGGCAGCGTCACTCATCCTGTGAGTGGACACACCGCCATAGTGACAGTATTGGGCAGCGTCACTCATCCTGTGAGTGGACACACCGCCATAGTGACAGTATTGAGCAGCGTGACTCATCCTGTGAGTGAACACACCGCCATAGTGACAGTATTGAGCAGCGTCACTCATCCTGTGAGTGAACACACCGCCATAGTGACAGTATTGGGCAGCGTCACTCATCCTGTGAGTGAACTCACCGCCGCACAGCGGTGCTGACGTCATCATTTCTCATCCACTCATTTTGAATCTTTCAACGCATTCTTATTTTTAGATAAATTCAGGCTACTGCGAGTAAAGGCCGCGAATGCGTGAAGCGAGTGCATGAAGCAAGTGCGTGAAGCGAGTGCATGAAGCGAGTGCGTGAAGCAAGTGCATGAAGCGAGTGCGTGAAGCAAGTGCGTGAAGCAAGTGCGTGAAGCAAGTGCGTGAAGCAACTAAGAAGATTGTCAAAGAATTGTGATTGTCAAAGATTGTGAGAGAAGAGCAGGAATAATTTTGTAACCATATAAAGAAAATTGGGAAGATAAAATATCTGACCGAATTAGAGCGGAGAAGTAGGGATTTATGAAGCCCAAGGAGGGATTTATGAAGCCCAAGGAGGGATTTATGAAGCCCAAGGAGGGATTTATGAAGCCCAAGGAGGGATTTATGAAGCCCAAGGAGGGATTTATGAAGCCTTCATTTTTATGAAGTGACTCGCTGTCTTCTGTCGCTTAGGTACTCCCTTATCCACTGTAAGTCTTCCCTGTTATTCCTATCTGCATCTCAAACTTATCACTAGTGTCTTATGGGCAGGTTCTCTAAGGTTTTCTGACAATCCAAAAACTATGCAGTCTGCACACCATTCTCTTTCTTGTCTAAAATTTGTGCCGTCTGGTCGTAGAATTCTATTAGACGTGTGAGGCAAGATTTGCCATCCCTGAACCCATGCTGGTGGTGTGTTACAAAGTTCCTTCTCTCCAGGTGTTCTACTAGTTTTTTATCTCTCTCACAATCTTCTCCTCCACCTTGTTTGGTAGGGTTGGGACACTGGCCCTAACTCGCTTAGTTAGGAGGCACTGAACTTGGGTCAGTACCTCTTGTCTCTCTCTCTCCCATATCTTGTATGCTGGCACTACATTAGCTGTCTTCCAAATTTTTGGTAGTGCTCTCTGTTATCATTGACCTGTTCAACACTATTAAGAGCGGTAAGCATAGTGCTTCTGCTTTCTCTTAGTGTCGAGGGGTGAGATTCTGTATGGGTTATCTTGAGGTTATCTTGAGATGATTTCGGGGCTCCTTTTTGTTGCACATCCCCAGGAAGCAGCCCGTAGCAGCTGTCTAACTCCCAGGTACCTATTTACTGCTAGGTAACAGGGGCATCAGGGGTGAAAGAAACAGATCGAACCTGGAACCTCAGGACTACGAATCCGAAGCACTGTCTACTCAGCTGTCAGGCGCCCTATGTTGGTCCAGACGGAATCACCACTGGTAATCTCATGCACATCACCACTGGTCATCTCACACTTCTCCAGTGGTGCCTGCTTAGACTGCCCTCCCTCTCAGTTCAGGAACTCATTTGCCCTATTGTGAAGACGTCCTAGAATCTCTTAGTTCGTCTTAGTTCCGCTGCGTAGTCGTAATTGAAGCAATTCGGCCTAACCTGAATTGTAGGAACATAGACAAACTGCCTATCCTGTGCCCATTAAACCGAGAAAGTGTTGATATTAAGAAGCCTTATCATTTCGTTTACTGCACCGTAATTTTGATGATGTGGTCGTTAGGGTCGAAATGGCTGTACATTAAGTGTAAAGACAGGTTGTATATCCACCAACTATGTCTACATGGGAACAAGAGCATCGGTTATTTCACAAAATTCCAAGGTTGTATCAAAGTTTAAACCTTAAAGGGAGCCGGTCGGCCGAGTGGACAGCACGCTGGACTTGTGATCCTGTGGTCCTGGGTTCGATCCCAGGCGCCGGCGAGAAACAATGGGCAGAGTTTCTTTCACCCTATGCCCCTGTTACCTAGTAGTAAAATAGGTACCTGGGTGTTAGTCAGCTGTCACGGGCTGCTTCCTGGGGGTGGAGGCCTGGTCGAGGACCGGGCCGCGGGGACACTAAAGCCCCGAAATCATCTCAAGATAACCTCAAGATAACCTTCACGTAATATATGGGTGGTCGATGGTTCAGGTCAGGCCAGGTCAGGTCAGGTCAGGTCAGGTCAGGTCAGGTCAGTCAGTTTTTGTTCGCCATTTAATGGCTGTTGTGACAACCCGTGAGAACGAACTGGACGGACATGGAACTCAGTGACCCACAGGAGAGGTGGGACAGGGAACTCAGTGACCCACAGGAGAGGTGGGACAGGGAACTCAGTGACCCACAGGAGAGGTGGGACATGGAACTCAATGACCCACAGGAGAGGTGGGACAGGGAACTCAGTGACCCACAGGAGAGGTGGGACATGGAACTCAATGACCCACAGGAGAGGTGGGACAGGGAACTCAGTGACCCACAGGAGAGGTGGGACAGGGAACTCAGTGACCCACAGGAGAGGTGGGACAGGGAACTCAGTGACCCACAGGAGAGGTGGGACAGGGAACTCAGTGACCCACAGGAGAGGTGGGACAGGGAACTCAATGACCCACAGGAGAGGTGGGACATGGAACTCAGTGACCCACAGGAGAGGTGGGACAGGGAACTCAGTGACCCACAGGAGAGGTGGGACAGGGAACTCAGTGACCCACAGGAGAGGTGGGACAGGGAACTCAGTGACCCACAGGAGAGGTGGGACAGGGAACTCAGTGACCCACAGGAGAGGTGGGACAGGGAACTCAGTGACCCACAGGAGAGGTGGGACAGGGAACTCAGTGACCCACAGGAGAGGTGGGACAGGGAACTCAGTGACCCACAGGAGAGGTGGGACAGGGAACTCAGTGACCCACAGGAGAGGTGGGACAGGGAACTCAGTGACCCACAGGAGAGGTGGGACAGGGAACTCAATGACCCACAGGAGAGGTGGGACAGGGAACTCAGTGACCCACAGGAGAGGTGGGACAGGGAACTCAAATAACAACACTTATCATTTCGTAGGCCTAGTTTAATACATATAGGCCTAAGATTGCTGTTAGTTTCAGTTTTTTATGCATTTCGAGAAATTTGTATTCACCTAGTTGTGCTTGCGGGGGGGGGGTTGAGCTCTGCTCTTTCGTCAAACTCCCAGCTACCTATTTACTGCTTGGTAACAGGGGGCATCAGGGTGAAAGAAACTCTGCCCATTTGGTTTCTGCCATCGCCGGGGATCGAACCCGGACCCTAGGATTACCAGAGTCCCAAGTGCTGTCCACTCAGACACAGGGCCCACCCCCCCTCCGTGCAACATAGCATGTTTTGTGTCTTCCAGCCACAGTCGCTGCTATCCTGTTATCTGTATTCCATGGATTGAAATATTGACATCGATAACAGGTGAAATTATGAAGAATTAATATTCTGTAAACAAAGACTTTTTTTGCTATTCTGTACTTCAATAATTTTTAGTTTTATAATTCTTTATTTGTTACTTTAATTTGTATGTTTACTTAGACTTTTCTAGTGGTATTAAGGGTACAGATACAAATGTTATCTTGAGATGATTTCGGGGCTTTAGTGTCCCCGCGGCCCGGTCCTCGACCAGGCCTGCACCCCCGGGAAGCAGCCCGTGACAGCTGACTTAACTCCCAGGTACCTATTTACTGCTAGGTAACAGGGGCATTCAGGGTGAAAGAAACTTTGCCCATTTGTTTCTGCCTCGTGCGGGAATCGAACCCGCGCCACAGAATTACGAGTCCTGCGCGCTATCCACCAGGCTACGAGGCTCCTTGTTCACCAAATTGACGAATTTAAGAACATAAGAACAAAGGTAACTGCAGAAGGCCTATTGTCCCATACGAGGCAGCTCCTATTTATAACCACCCAATCCCACTCATATACATGTCCAACCCACGCTTGAAACAATCAAGGGACCTCCACCACGTTACGCGGTAATTGGTTCCACAAATCAACAACCCAAATATTGACATCGATAACAAGGCGCCCCAAGATGTGGGAATATTTGCCAAATATTCCTGAATAAGACACGTTCAATACCTTGACTCTCTCACCCTCCCACTTGGGCTGGACGGTAGAGCGACGGTCTCGCTTCATGCAGGTCGGCGTTCAGTCCCCGACCGTCCACAAGTGGTTGGGCACCATTCCTTCCCTCCCCGTCCCATCCCAAATCCTTATCCTGACCCCATTCCAAGTGCTATATAGTCGTAATGGCTTGGCACTTTCCCTTGATAAATTCCTTCCTTGTATTTTCCACGGTGCTCTAAATTAACACATTTTAAATTAATGGGAGATTTATTTGGGGGGTAAGAATTAAGAAAACGGATTGAGGACTAAACCATACACGTAGAAAACGATCTTAAGAAATGTTATTATGACTCATCGTCTTGAAAACAGTCTTCCGTGTCGAGTTAGGCTTAATGAGCCATCTTGCACCACCACGTGAAAGTCTTACGTGTGTGTGAGTGTGTGTGTGTGTGTGTGTGTGTGTGTGTGTGTGTGTGTGTGTGTGTGTGTGTGTGTGTGTGTGTAATTACCTAAGTGTAGTTACAGGATGAGATCTACGCTCGTGGTGTTCCGTCTTCCCAGCACTCTTTGTCATATAATGCTTTGACATAATGTGTGTGTGTGTGTGTGTGTGTGTGTGTGTGTGTGTGTGTGTGAAACAAGAATCAACCTGTTTCCTTCCTTACCTTCCATGTATCATGACCTGAGAATAGAGTATGTAGGTAGGGGTGCTGGGGGGAAGGGGGGACCCCCCCCCCACACACAAAGGGGGGACCCCCCCCCCCACACACACACAAACACACATTCCTGTCTATTCCCCTCTCTCTCTCTGTTTTTAAATATAGATCTTACGGTGCTGCTATATCTAGACGGCTTCTACACCTCAACTCTTGAGAGATATCACTATACAACAATTTCCAAATAAACAAACTTTGTTTTTCTTCGCTTTGGTTAAGGGACATATGGCCGCTTGCCTGCCGCGAGGGTCCTCAGCTCCCGCTTAACAAGTAGGATGTAAACAAACGCATTAATTAAATAAGAATGGCCTGGCTCACGCCCTTGGGACGTACCGTTACTTGGGATACGAGGGTCTCGAAAGAGAGAGGCGGGCAGGCCTCTCTCTTGTCTCGCGGTAACGATCTTAGACACTCTAACAACCTCAGACGCTAACAGCACAAACGTCATTCATAGCCCTCCACATCACGGCTCATTAAGGATTAACAGCTCCCACGTTTAAAAGATCTCCCAGGTAAAGAGGCCAGACGGGTAACATCTCCCAGTGTTAAGAACTCTCCCACCTAGTGACCACCCACGTTTAAGATGTTCCCGATTAAGAGGTGTCGCCTTCAGACCTCCCACGTTAAGATGGCGACACCCACCCACCACCACGGGAGAGAGAGAGAAGAGCCCGCGAACACGCTCATATCATCTATATATTCCCTCCTGGCACGCCGCACTACGACATCTTACACTAAGCTTAGTCCATACGCAAAGCTTCGTGAATCAAGGTCACACAGGTTTTAGACCCACACCGAAACCCACACGTCCGAAAATAGATGGAAGCCACACGACGTGTCGGTACCTTTTGGGCCATTATCACGTCGGGTCCAGACCGGTAGAGGACGCCTGTGTACGAGGTAAGGTTAGAGTCACTTTTGTACCTGCTATCATGTTATCGTGGTCATAGGATACCTGCTATCATGTTATCGTGGTCATAGGATACCTGCTATCATGTTATCGTGGTCATAGGATGCCTGCTATCATGTTATCGTGGTCATAGGATGCCTGCTATCATGTTATCGTGGTCATAGGATACCTGCTATCATGTTATCGTGGTCATAGGATGCCTGCTATCATGTTATCGTGGTCATAGGATACCTACTATCATGTTATCGTGGTCATAGGATGCCTGCTATCATGTTATCGTGGTCATAGGATACCTGCTATCATGTTATCGTGGTCATAGGATGCCTGCTATCATGTTATCATGGTCATAGGATACCTGCTATCATGTTATCGTGGTCATAGGATGCCTGCTATCATGTTATCGTGGTCATAGGATGCCTGCTATCATGTTATCGTGGTCATAGGATACCTGCTATCATGTTATCGTGGTCATAGGATGCCTGCTATCATGTTATCGTGGTCATAGGATGCCTGCTATCATGTTATCGTGGTCATAGGATACCTGCTATCATGTTATCGTGGTCATAGGATACCTGCTATCATGTTATCGTGGTCATAGGATGCCTGCTATCATGTTATCGTGGTCATAGGATACCTGCTATCATGTTATCGTGGTCATAGGATACCTGCTATCATGTTATCGTGGTCATAGGATGCCTGCTATCATGTTATCGTGGTCATAGGATACCTGCTATCATGTTATCGTGGTCATAGGATGCCTGCTATCATGTTATCGTGGTCATAGGATGCCTGCTGTCATGTTATCATTGTCACAGAGTGCCTGGTGTTATGTTATCGTGGTCAGAGGATGCCTGCTGTTATGTTATCATTGTCACAGAGTGCCTGCTATCATGTTATCATTGTCACAGAGTGCCTGCTGTTATGTTATCATTGTCACAGAGTGCCTACTGTTATGTTATCATTGTCACAGAGTGCCTGCTATCATGTTATCATTGTCACAGAGTGCCTGCTATCATGTTATCATTCCCGTCCTCCCGTCCCCACAGTAACTGACGGAACACCTCCTCACGTGAGAGATTAACTGTCGGACCTAAACCACTTTTAAAGTTTTGGAACAAAAGCTTTAAAAATATATATATCTATTTCCTCCTTGAACCGCGATCTTACAGACAGGTTTTGAACTTTGTTTAAGTTCTAAACGGTTTAGGAGTTTGTTATAATGTTCGTCTGCTGTGTTGCAGCAACTAAATCTCTAAATCTCTAAATTTAAAATCTAAGTCTCTAATTGGGCCATTACTAGCCACAAATCAATATGTAAAATATTGATATAGTTTCGTTGTGGTGGATCTCAAACCTCCTCTAATAATATTCATGGATAAATTTGACTTGTGTATTTAATAGAGGGGAAAATTCTTCATTAGCTGAGTAACGATGAATTTGTATCAATTTACAAAGTAAATTGTTTACAAGTAAATTCTTTACATTGCGTTATTGTAGAGTTAAAAACAATTTTCACTAAACCAGTGTAAATTTTTTTTTTTAGCATAATATTGACTCTGAAACTGAAATGCCTATTTTTTGCACAGGTAAGAACTACACCTGCGTAGGTAAGAACTACACCTGCGTAGGTAAGACCTACACCTGCGTAGGTAAGACCTACACCTGCGTAGGTAAGAACTACACCTGCGTAGGTAAGACCTACACCTGCGTAGGTAAGACCTACACCTGCGCAGGTAAGACCTACACCTGCGCAGGTAAGACCTACACCTGCGCAGGTAAGACCTACACCTGCGCAGGTAAGACCTACACCTGCGCAGGTAAGACCTACACCTGCGCAGGTAAGACCTACACCTGCGCAGGTAAGACCTACACCTGCGCAGGTAAGACCTACACCTGCACAGGTAAGACCTACACCTGCGCAGGTAAGACCTACACCTGCGCAGATAAGACCTACACCTGCGCAGGTAAGACCTACACCTGCGCAGATAAGACCTACACCTGCGCACGTAAGACCTTGACTATGAGGAGCAGAACGAACACAAACAGTTCTGGGAAGTGTACACAAATGTTTACTCCAAAATTAATCATCTAATTCTCATTATTCTCCTTCGATGCCAAGACGCTCGACAGGTTTGGTCCCCAACTGTGCTGGCGCCTGTGCTGCTACTGCATATATGGCTCCAACTGTGCTGGCGCCTGTGCTGCTGCTGCATATATGGCTCCAACTGTGCTGCTAATTTTTGGCTGTAAATTTGGCTGATTTTTGTCCGTAATTCATACGAGGGAAAAGCGACGTTACTTGTAAGAGGACGGGCTGTGTGACCAGGCCTCTCT